ACAAATATTTAAAAAAACCCATCTTTTAAAACTTTATTCCCTGAATGATAAAAATTTTACTTACTTATTTAATTTATTTATTTATTTATTTATTTATTTATTTATTTATTTATTTATTTATTTTTGTGTGTGTATGAATGTTTTGCCTGCATGTATATAAGTGTACCACATGTGTACAATGCCCATGGAGGCCAGACGAGGGTGTTGAATCCCCTGGAACTAGAGTTGTGAATGATTGGTGGCTTCCATGTGAGTGCTGGGAACCAAATGCAGATCTTCTGCAAGAGCAGTGCTCTTAACTGCTGAGCCATCTCTCCAGCCCCCTAACATCAGTTTTCTAATTAATGTGTTCAGAGGGGGAAGAGTTTTTTTTTTTCTAATTATGGGCACTAATCAGGTCTACTGACTCAGAACTTGTAAGGGTGAGGCTGAGTAATCCATGTTTCAACAAGCCCACTAGGTTATGCTTAACCACTGCTTTAGTCAGAAATAAGAGAACTGTCTTCCAAGACAGCTACTTTTTTAAAAATGTGTGTATGAGTGTTTTTACTGTATGTATATAAACACATCTGTGTTGTTCAATGCCTGTGGGGGCCAGAACAGGGCATCAGGTCTTCTGGAGCTGGAGTCACAAACAGTTGTAAGCTGTCATATGGGTGTTGGGAGCTGAACCCAGGTTCTCTGTAAGAGCAGCCAGTACTCTTAACCTCTGATCCATCACTCCACCCCACAAGATACTTTTTATTGTGGCTAGAATATAAAATTATCTTAACAGTCTCTCATAATATTGACTCTATTATTTTTGTATTTGACAGACTATTACTTACCTCTTCCCCTCCACCAAGAGGGAAAAAAAAAAACCATAAAGGAGTGATGGGGCATAGTGTCATATGACACACTAATAGGTGTGGAGCAGTCAGAACCTTGGAGCCTGGATAGTTCCAAGGGGATCATCTGCAGTTGCCTTATCATCATATAACCACTTGAACTGCAACTCCTTTTAAAGCAGAGAATAATTAAGATAGCAAGAAATCAATACTTATAGAGAATCTACCATGCCTTAGGCATTTTACAAAGATTATATTATTTACTCCTCAGAAGTATGTATTAGTATCATTTTACATAAGATGATATTGAGATTCAGGTTAAATAGAAGTATCTTAGGCCTTTATTACTTGCATCAGCCTCTTATATTACCCAATATCTCCAATTATTTTTCCTTTTATCTTTATTTTTTATTTTATATTTTGAAAGTTATACATATGAGCCTGTCTCTGTGTTAGTATGTGCATGTGCATTCAGGTGCCCACAGGGTCCAGGAAAGGGTGTCAATCCCCTGGAGCTGGAGTTAGAGGCAGTTGTGAATTGCCTGATGTGGGTGCTGGCAATGGAATTCCAGTCTTCGAAAGGGCATTAAGGACTCTTAACTGCTGAGCCATCTCTCCAGCCTCCTTCCCTCCCTCTATCCCTCCCTCTATCCCTCCTCCCTCCTTCCTCCCTTCATCCTTTCATTTCTTCCTTCCCTCCCCCCAACTTTTCATTTTTATGATATGGTCTTGCTGTGTAGTCCAGGATGGCCTGGAACTCAAGATCCCCTTGCTTCGACATCCCATGTGCTGTTATTACAGGTTTGTGCCACAATGTCCAGCTCTTTTTCTTATTTTAATATCATTTCTGTATTAATATTATGGTCTTGTCCCAGTTTATTTCCATCCTAAAATTATTTAAATGTTTTGTGTAACTCTTAAGTTGCCATGATAGTTCTGCAAATTCAAGCAACCAACCCATACAAATTTGAAGACACATTTGAACATTCATATCAGAACTTGTTCTGCTCATATGTTGAGACACAGGTAATTAGGGATTTCAGTACATTTCTAAAGTTGAATCAGCACAAAATCTTTCATAATAACATCTCACATTTGATAGTGTTTTGTTTCAAAACACCTTCATATTTATTTGCCTTTCATATCCAAAAACAAGTGAAAGTGTTCTTATAATTCCTGAGCTGAGAAAATTTAATTGTCTCATACACATTGCATAATGATTCAGTGAAGGAACTGATTTCTGTCCTCCACCCCTCAATTGTTAGATGTAAGATCACTACCATGGCCAGAAGCCATGCACCAAGGCATATTTCTTTTTGATCATAGTATGTTGAAACTCAGTTTACAAGACACATCTACTAGGTTGGAGATAAACACTCCACTAAAGTGTTTTTTTTCCCCACATATAAAAATCACTTCTGGTTTGCTTAATCTTTATCATTATACTAATTACATAAATAATATATAGTAACAAATACTGAAATTCTACCAGTTTAGTGCTGAGATAATCTCAATTATCATTTTAAAGGTCATCTTTTTTTTTTTGTCTTTTTTTGAGACAGGGTCTCCCATTAACTGCAGCTGGCCTGGAACTCACTATGTAGACCAGGCTGGCCTTGAACTCACAGAGATCCTCCTGCTTCTGCCTCTCAAGTGCTGGGATTAAAAGTGTGTGCCACCATGCCCAGCTTAAAGGTCATCTTTTAATATATCTCTTTAAGACAAAGACATGCACAGTATATAATTTAACTGAGAGTTTTTAAAAAAAATGCTGTCTTTTGGGGCTGGAGAGATGATTTAGCAGTTGAGAGCACTGACTACTCTTGCAGATGACCTGGGTTCAGTTCCCAGAACCCACATGGTGGCTCACAACCATCCATAACTCCAGTTCCAGGGGATCTGACACCCTCTTCTGATCTTTGTAGGCACTGCACGACATGGGTGCACTTACACACATGCAGACTCATACACATAAAATAAAATAAATAAAATGTATTTAAAATGCTGTCTTTTTACAAGTTGAGATTTATTCTGCTTATCTTCTTCCTTCTCTTTTCCCAACCAACCTTATTCTTTAAATTGCAAATATTCTCAGCCTGGTGAGTATCTCTACTTTTCTTTATAGAAATCCATATACTTATAGTCACATAAGCATAAGAACACTCAAAGTTGTCTTGTTTCTCTAGAAAAAATAATCTTCCCTATAAATTAAAATTCTATGATTTATTTTCTCATATTGTGAAGCTTCCCCTACCTCAGTTGTGCATTCATAACTCATTCTTTTGTTTTCCACACTTACTGTTTGGTACAAAACACATTTACCACAATAGTCACTTCATACACAATGAATGTGTGTGTGTGTGTGTGTGTGTGTGTGTGTGTATCAAGTGATTCTCTAGAGTTGCTTAGACCAGAAAATACATGATTTATTATTGATCTTGGCTTATCTTACCTTTCTGCTGATTCTTTCTTTTGAGTCTTTGTCATCTCTACTCTGAGGAGACGACATTTGTCTAAGAATCTCCTTCTTGCTAGGTGGGATTGAATCACCATCTTCACTTTCTAATTTAAACTTTCTCCAATCATTTATTACTCCTTTTGGTCCTGGAATAAAAATTTTAAAGAAGTGTCTCTTTATTTTCAGTACTGTTTACACACTTGAAATTTATGTAAGTGTTGCCATGGGAATAGACTTGCCATCTACTGCATCTGAAACAAACATCTCAATTAGCCTAGAAATTTCTTACTGCCTTGTTCATAAAATTTTCTCTCAGGTTAACCTTATTAAGTGGAGTGTGGCAAAGAATCTTTCTGAAACATCCACACTAATGAAAATATACATTATGCACTTTGAGTTGTTTCCAAAAGTTTAGAGGTAAAGATATTAAAAATTGGAATATCTAAACGCAACCAGAAGTTTAGAAAAATAGAATGTTTATTATATAAGAAAGAAGTTTTTACAATAAATGAACATTGGCACTACTCTGTCATGCCAGGAAACTCATTGGAGGAACAACAATAACAATAGTACCTAAAAGAAAAACAATGAATAATGTATCACTCAACAACATTAAAATGGGGTCTGGAGAGATGGTTCAGCAGTTAATAGCATTTGCTGCTCTTTCAGAGGATCTGGATTATGATCTCAGCACTCACATGTGTCTATAACTCCAGTTTTAGGGATCTGACACCCTCTTCTGGCTTCCATGGATACCCGGCATGCACATAGTGCACATAAATATTTAGGAACTCATACACAACACATAAATAAATCTTAAAAATAATTAAAATGACTTTAAGACTCATTACATAGCCACACAGTCCCTCTAAGATACTAAGACTCTTTCACAAAACAGAAAACATAGGATTTTCATGTTTAAGAAAATTCAAAGGCTGACGATAACATGCAGTTGGCAGAGTGCTTGTCTTGTATACATGAAATTCTGTGTTCCATCCATACCACAGTCACCATACAAAATAAACTAAGTCACAGATAATTCAATTGGAATTGTGATACTCAATTCTTAAAAGATAAAAGTGCCTTGAAGAAGGTCAGAGGACATATACATTCCTAATGCAGATGCTGAATTTTTATTTTTGCCAGCCATGTATGAGGGTGCCTCTTTCAAAAAAAAAATGTGCTAAGCTTTTAAAGTTTTTCCACTTCTGTGAAAAATGCATCTCACCAAAGTTCTAACTTTATATGTCTATGAATGTCTTTTTTTGTTGTTGTTTTTCTCTGTGACTCTTTTGCCCACTGTGATGGTTAATGTCCATTTGGTTGCTTTTTTGTGTGTTATAATATGTAGATGCTATTATAAATTTTAAAATTAAAATTTTAGCTTGTTATTTATTTACTTGCAAAGGTTTCTCCCAAGTATCTTAATGTTAAAAAATTGCTCCAGATACGGGGTTGGAGAGATGGCTTAGCGGTTAAGAGCACTGACTGCTCTTGCAGAGGACCCAGGTTCAAACCCCAGCACCCACATGGCGGCTACAACTGTCCTTAGTTCCAGGGGAATCCGAAGCCCTCTTCTGACCTCCGTGGCATTGCACGACTCAGGTGCACTCACATACATGCAGGCAATTCACTCATACACATAAAATAAAATAATAAATAAAATATTTAAAAAAATTGCTCCAGATAACTTTAACTAGACAGTGGGCTTTCCTGGGTTCCTCTTTCTGCCCCCCTTCTCCTCTTTCTTCTCCTCCTCCTTCTGTAGTGGGTACAGATGGAGAAATTAAGAGAATAGAAAGTGGCTTAATTAAATTGTAAATGAAGAAGCATTATGATAACTGGGTAGCAAGAAATTATTAATAATTTGTGTTTTTAACTCTTTGATATTGAAATATTAAATATCCAATTGTTGGGTCATTTCATTTCAAGCTAATTTATGCAGTCAAATATATGGTTAGATTATTCTAGATGACTATATGAAGATGTTACTTAAATTCAATAATGAATGTTCTCAAGAAGAATAGTAGCTATTTCTAGATTTAATTTTACTGTAATACTTATATTTTCTTCTTGCTTTATTTACCTGTGTGTGTGGCCTGTCCTTTAAAGTCTTCCTCCAAACTTTGGCTTGTGGCTTCTTCCATTTTTAGGGTTGTATTTCATGTAATCTGTATGATAAAGAAGTAATGGTACAGACGAGTTACAGAAAACACATGCAAGAATACAGACATATAAAAATACCTGTGCATATATTTATAATCCCCTCCTGCCATCATGAAAGTTTAAGGGTTATCACTTTGTGAAAGGATGTTTTAAATATTTCTGTGTACACTGTAATAGCACATTAATTTAGCATGTACTACTAAAGATGTTTGTATAATTTATGGCTTGTCTTTTAAAAATGTTTGCCTTCATTTTAGTTCTATATACTTGATAACCACCGGTGATCACAGATTTCTTTCCTTTTTATTTGTTACACTATTTCATAAGATTATACATTAATATTTATATAATGAAACTTCAATTAATAATAGTTACATGCTCACTATGAGCATTTGCTACACAGCAGGCATTTTTCCAGTTAATTTTTGTGACAAGTTCAGTTCTTTTTTTAAAAAAGATTTTATTTATTATTATTGTTATTTAATGTGTGTGAATATATTGCCTGCATGTATGTAAGCGAGCCTATTTTGTGCAGTGCCCTTGGAAGTCAGAAGAAAGCATCAGATCCCTTGGAACTGGAGTTACAGATGGTTTGTTAGTCACCATGTGAGCACTGGGGAACTGAAGCCAGGACCTCTGCAAGAGCAGCCAGTGCTCTTAACCACTGAGCCATCTCTCCAGTCTGCCTATGTGACAAACTTTTAATTCTTTCATAGAGGTAGGACAATTGTTAATGTCATTTTACAATTGTGGAAGCTGAAGGACATGGAATTTGGATTAGTTTCTCATGGTTGCATAGTAAAGGATTTTCAACCTAGACTGACTTTGGAGTCTACCCTTATACATTACATGATTAAAGAAGCTAACTTGAATTGTTTTTCAGTGGTTTTGAAAATACAGTCTTTGAATTTGTATTGAAGAGTGATAAGGAACACTGCTAATCAATAGTATCTTAGCATCTTTCAATACTTAAGAGCAAGTTTTGGTGAAATTATTGCCCATCAGGCAAATGAAACCACCCAGTAACTTGTCTGTAGTGTTTTTGAGAAGGCAAAAGCTACAGGGAGTTCACAGCTATTTTTGTTCATGGGAAACTCCCCACTCGCACATAGACCTTATTTATGCTTAGCTAATGGTGTAATCCAATTTACTTGCTGATTTATCTTTCAATTACCTGGAAAATTCAATTATTATACACACTAATATGTTCCCTAAGGAATCTTTGTAGTTGTGACTTTTCCAAAACTTTCATCAAGGAAGTTACATTAGCTGTGGACATACTCAGTTCTCCTTTTCCCCCGTGCCTCCTTCAAAGTCAGTTTTAAGCACTGGGCTTATTCAGTTTGTGTCTTCAATTTCTTCTTAGCTCTTTATTGGTTTATACTTCAGTTCTGGAGTGTTAGTTTTTCTTTTTCTTTTTGATTTATTTATTTCTATTTTATGTGTATGAGTGCTAGGCCTGCATGTGTGTAAGTGTACTGGTGTCATGCAGTGTCTGCAGAGAACAGAAGAGGGTGTCAGATGCCCTGGAACTGAAGTTACAGAGGGTCGTTAGCCACTATGTGTGCTGGGATTTGAACCCGAATCTTCTGCAAGAATGACAAGTGCTTTTATCCACTTTAGCCTCTCTCCAGCCCTGGAGTTTGTACTTTTGGTTGCTCCTCTAATTTTTTTCATTTATTGCAATTCCTAACCAGAATCACCTGAGTCAAAATCTTCCCAGTTAGATTTTTTCCATTTGAAAAAGAAAAGGCTGTTGAGGGAAAACCAATCCATTCTAGAATATTTATGTGTTTATAATAAAGAACAATAAATTTGAATTTACTTAGTAATTAAAAATAATGGAAAACATAGAAAATAAGTACATATTAATAGACAAAAGAAGCAATCTAGTAACTTTGATTTTTTAAAAATATTTTCATATCTAAGGGAACATGAACCTTTTTGCTTCAAATTAAAACTAAAGGACAAAGAAATTAGAATATATCTGATGACTTCAGTAACTGTTTAGTTCCCAGAAAAAAGGGTGACTTGAATCATTCTTTCATTTTGCAAGAGTAGATTATTAATTTAGGAGAGCTACACTTCCAAATAAATATAAAGTTAAGAAAATTTAAAAATAATTTTCTTTCAAATGCTGAAGAGGTAGAGACACACAGCTTCCTTCTTGGTTTATTTATTGGTAACATTGATATCAACCTAGTAGATAAAAAATGTTGCATTTTTTGAGCAAAGATTTGTACCAATTTCAATAAACTCATTTACTAAAAAGATAATCTGGGGGCTGGAGAGATGGCTCAGCAGTTAACACTGACTGTTCTTGTAGAAGACCTGGGTTCGAATCCCAGCACCCACATGGCAGCTAACAACTGCCCATAAGTCCAGTTCCAGGGGATTCGACAGCCTCCTCTGTCCTCTGTGGGCACTGCATGACACAGATGCACTTACCTACATGTAGGCATAACACTCATACACATAAAATAAAAATAATAAATAGAATATTAAAAAAGATAATCTGATTATTGAGCAGGACAAAAACTCATCTGTTGATTGGATTAGTCTGTACTGAGACTAGACTGTGCCACACTTCTGTGCTCTGAATTATATGAAAAACAAAACTATTTCAGTAAGGTACTTACTAATCCTAAAATGTAAGCTAGTTGGACTTCCTCCTTTTGAGTATAAAAATTGGTAAAATTTGAAACTATTTGTTGCCAGAAGAACGAGTGAACAAATTGAAAGAGAATTGTTGCAACATGTGAAAGCTTGCTTTTGCTTTTTACAGCCTCTGTAGTGGAGGACATAAGTAGACTATTGCTTGCTATTGATAGACTTTCTCTGTAGTCCTAGTAATTTTCCCAGCAACCACCTCACTCTCTAGGGTTTGCTGCTTATACCAAATAATCTATCTTTTTCCAAATTTACATTAGCATCATTGGATTAATATTTCAAAGGGATGTAGCTCTTGGCACATAGGAAATAAACATTTTATGTGTCTGCTGGATAAAATAAATTTTATGTATTGGTAATTTCAAAATCAGCATCTGCTGAAAATGATGTTATGAATGTTTACAAATTCCTTATCTTCTTTAAGTTAGAGGATTTAAAAGAAAATTAAAATTGTAATTTTGGAAAGAAATAGAATTTAAAACACAATTTTACCAAGTTATGGTTTTATTTTTCTCTTAGGATTTAATAATTATTTAAAAAATGGCTTATGTAGGATAACATTTTTGAAACTGTCTTTAAAACCCTAATGCCCTCCAGTCATGACTTAACAATTACAAAGAAATAAAATGAGATTAATATAAGTGATTCTGACTATTTTTCCCATCACATGCAGTGGTGCTGATCTGTAATAGAAAAGCAGCGAGGAAAAGTTTCTCTTCTCTCTGCTTCCCCCTAATCTCCCACCATTAAGAGAGACTCCTTATGTAGCCCAGTCTGGCCTCAAACTTTTATATAACTTGCTGTCCCCCTGTCCCAGCCTCCCCAGGGCTGTGGTTGTAGACCCACCATGCTTGGCCAACATATATAAGTTTTAAAGACTTATTAAATTCCAAACCCACCTCCAGTCATCTCATTATCATCATTGTCCTTGTTCACATAACACTGTATGATAATGGTTAGCTGCTTTAAGTATGCTGATCTGCTGTAACTAAAGTATAGACTTTAGAGTTGACGTGCAACTTCTCAGTGGTCCTAAGTGTGTTGTCTCAGGACTCTGTTGCAGTTTATTGTTGGACTTTCAAACATCAGGGTATGTCTTTGCCATGTACTAAACTGAGTTCCTTCTTCTCACCTGAAATAATTTATACCATTTATGCTTATGCTTCTCCACTACTGCAAACTCTCTGATGACAGAGATACTTTTTACCTGCCTTATTTCTTATGATTGTCTGACATATTATAAATAATAGCAGCAATTTTGGGGACCTCATGATGTATTGATACTTCATACAGATTTTTAACTCTCACAAAACTATTTTCTTTGCTTTTTAAATATGGATTTTAAATGTTCATTGTTAGGCTCTGAGAGACTCGGTGATTTTTCCAAAATACACAGAGGGTATATGGAACAGACAGAGCAGGATTCAAATCTCTGACTCTGAACTTTTCAAAATCCTTATTTTTTTCTACTGCTCTAATGCCATATCAATAAAATGCTAAATGAGTGAATGAATACAAAAGCTGGCCTAGCTTTTGTGTATATATTAAACCAAGATGAGACTATAGATAATAAAAATATGCCATCATGTCCCCGAGTTTTGGATATACTCCTTATTCGAATGATTTATTTCTGTTTTGGATTAAACCTTATTAGTTTATATTGAATGCGAAGTCCATTTGTTTCAAGTTAACTGAATGAATTTCAAAGGACTCTAAGGACCCTGTGAAATCAATATAAAAGACAAACTGTCCACAATTTTTCTTGATTGTCATATGAACTAATTGAGAATTTATTATTGATCCTATGTTTCTATGACTTATAAAATCAAGTGAAATAAGCAAAATTTATCAATTATATTCAATCAGATGTGAAAGTTCCTTTTATAGAATTACTCTTGCATGTGTTGTAAAACTTTAGAAATATTACACTGCAAGTTTTGTGTGGAGATTTGTATATGAGTTAAATATTTCATTTGTGATCTTTTTTTCCAACTACCAAGGATTGAGGCTAGGACCTCATGCATGCTGGTCAACTGCTCTACCGCTGAGCTACATTCCCATCCCCAAGTGCTTCACTCACAAACTTCTATCAGTCACTTAAGAAATTCTCTTTTCTTTCTTTGTTTTGTTGTCTTGTTTTGAGACAGGATATTACTGTAACCTAGGCTGCCCGAGACTTATACCATGGAACCCAGGCTGGCCTCAAAATAACAGTGATCCTCCTACCTCAGTCTCCTGACTGCTAGCATTTCAGGCATGAGGCACTATGCCCAGCTAAGACATTAATTTAAAGTCCAAAAAAAAATGTATT